GGAGGGGGGAGGAGGGGGATATTGGAGGCAATAAAATTTATATGAGTCTCCTTTCCAACCTCCATCTTTCATGTGCCCAAGCCTCATCTCTTGTCCCTGGATGGTTGTTAAAAATCTAAGCATCTTTGTATAATAACTATGCCCTCAGCCTACTGCAGCATCCACTCATAAACTTATCATGTGAGTTTTCAGTTCCCTTTTCTATTTTGGCCCTTAGGATTTACCTTACTTTCTCATGAGCTCTGCAACATGCTTGAGGATATTTGTTCAAATCTGTCCAAAAAATTTAAGTGTTTTCTCCCAGGAGGATGTTCAGGCCATCTTGCCATTTTGCTAGAAACTGAAGTCTCTAAGGATATCTTTTTTTTTTTTTTTTTTGAGAGGAGTCTTACACCTTTTTTTTTTTTTTTTTTTTTTTTTTTTTTGAGATGGAGTTTTGCTCTTATTGCCCAGGCTGGGATGCAATGGTGTGATCTCCGCTCACTGCAGCCTCTGCCTCCTGGGTTCAAGTGATTCTCTTGCCTCAGCCTCCTGAGTAGCTGGGATAACAGGCAGGCGTCAGGTAATTTTGTATTTTTAGTAGAGATGGGGTTTCTCCATGTTGGTCAGGCTGGTTTCGAACTCCTGACCTCAGGTGATCCACCTGCCTCAGCCTCCAAAAGTGCTGGGATGAGCCACTGTGCCCAGCCCATAGTTGATATTTTCTTTACAGTTCTTACACCTTTTCTCTGCTTTCTTTGTTTACCCATATGTCTAAGACTTCCAGGACATGCTGAACAGAAGAATGACAGGTATCTTTATGTCGTTACAACACTATTAAAGGGGCTGCTTTTAATCTTTTACCATAGGTATAGCATTTACTGAAGGTCTTTGGATACCATTTATTAGATACAAAGGTTCTCATATATTCCTAAGTACTAAGAGTTATTTTTTTAAAGGATAGGTGCTTTTTAAAGAGGATGGTTGTTGAATATTATCAAACGCTTTTTTTGCATCTCTTTGTCTAAGTGGTCACATGTTTTCCTTTCATTAGCTAATGCAATGTATTGCATTATATATTTCTAATGTTAAATCATCCTAATATTCCTAGAATACAAACAATTTTACACTATATATAAAGTCCATTAATCTATGCACTATAT